ATTATTATTATTATTATTATTATTATTATTATCATTTTATCTTTGCCTCATTTTTTCACTTTGGAATTTTTCTCAAAATTGTTTTACTAGAGAAGGAAATATGTTCTTAACCTAAACAACACGCTTATGAGACTTCTTAAAAATACCCCTTCCTCTTCCCCCTCGAATTTCTGTCAAATTATTCAGATTTTTCATAGTGTTGCTAAGTTTTTTTACGACTTCCAGAGTCTTCAATCATATGTCGCTTTATATTGGTTTCTCAAATAACGCATTTAATCACAAATATGAATTGAAACAAATGCAACCTGTACCTCATTTCCTCATGCCCACGTGGCACCGGGACAGCCGAGTTTACAGACCCACGATAACAACATTAAATGTCCGAAACTAATAAAATGAAGAGGTATACACCAGTACATAAAACTGTTCAAGTATAAAATGTTATCTAGTAGATTCGGTGATTGTGCCGTGGAGTGCCTCGCTGGCTGAGCACCTGGCTGCTCTCGCTCGGCGCCTGAGGTGGGGGTGCGGCGGGGCGGGGCGGGGCGGGGCAAGGCGGGTTGCGGGTGGGGGGCGGGCGCGACGTTAGCGGTCTCGGGCGACGCGAAGGCCATCACGGCCGTCGCCGCCGCGCCGAGAGGGCGATGGCTCCCACCGCCGCCTGCGCTGACAGCCGCTGCTGCGCTGGCGCTGACGCTCGCCGGCGCAGGCAGCGCTCTCTGGGCTCCCCGCCCGGCTCTCAGCCCTGCTGCCACTCGGCTGCCCTCCGAGGCGCGGTGCTCGCTGCAGGTGCGTTCGCTCACTGTGTAGCCATTTCAGCGTTGATTTTTTATACTTTGATTTTTAAACCAGTATTGGATCCTTTTTCCATAAAAATTTAAGTATTTTTTTAAAATATTCCAAAAATAGTCCCAGGGTACCACCATTGTACGCGACATAAAAAGGTAAATGTAAGGTCCAATGTTCAGAAACAGATTTCATTAATTATGCTTAATCGCCTCCTCTCTGTAGTCGTTTTCGATAGTTGTTTTTTTACATAAATGTTTACTATTATAATATTTCCATATATTACTTGATATATTAAAACTAATACAAAAGTATCACAATGAAAAAAAATATTGTGTGAAGATTTTTAATGGCTACACTCATAAATATTGGAATATTTTTCTTTTTAACGACCACAAATAGAAACACGAGTTCCTCACTCACTTAATACCACCTCATGATAGTTTTAGAATTTTTCTTCAAGGATCAATTTAATTAAAAGACTACTAATTACTTCATTTTGTACCGATTATGCAAGGTATTTAGCTTGTAATAACTTGGGAATTATTATGAAAAACTTGGGAATTATTATTAATGGTTAGTGACGATATTTGACGTGTCAGTGTGCGAGACGAGCATCACTTCTGTTTCCTTGTCTCACGAAGCTGTTGACGTGTGTCTCTTTTTGCCTTCGATTGTATTGAGGAACGGCCGATGACCCGAATTGAAATCCAGACGCGTCTGACAGCTGCTAAGAACACGCCACGTCGTGCGTTCTTCTGCTCTCATCCTATCTGAGCTCATGCAATATCAGTTTGGTTCGCGACGATCAGTAACATTTAGTGTGAAATTAAATTCTAAGAGACACACCGTCTAAAGCAGTTTGTTTTGCTTCCCAATTCTCTACAGACCTAACGAATTAATGACAATTTCAAGAAAATCGTTTCAATAAGTTGTGAGTGACAATTGAATATTTTCCTTTAGTAAGACATTGCATGTTCTTTAGTTGCATCCTTTCTACTACTGTTGATAACGCACCAATTCTACGAAAATGGTTCTCAAATGTTTTGTTAAAAAACGGAAGGAAAGGAATCTCATCCTAGACGATCTTCACACGAGCCCTCTGGTGTGCGACTGGCGAAGTGCTCCTTCTCAGAGGCCGCGCGGCGCGGCGCATGCGCAAGAAGCCTTGTTGAACTGCGACGGCTCTTGGAGAGATTCATTTCAAAGATCATTGCATTCAGTCAAAACTTTTATTGACGACATGCGAAGTTAATTGTGAGATATAGTTCAATTCTCGTTTGTCTTGAGCTCTGAAAGTGCTTTTATGTCACGATTCTACATAGCTTTGCGAAACCGCACTTTCATCTATGATAAAAATTCGTAATGTATAATAACTAGTTGAGCTGCAACAGCACATACTTTTTCGTATTATTTGTAACCTCTTGCTTTATTTACAGAACACTACACGTGTTAGAGGAAGTAATTTACTATAGCCTATATAGGGACAAGATTAATCCACATTTCAGTTCCATCACGCACTGAGATTTATCCACACGCTTAGCAATAAGTTTTTCTTTCGAAAATTCGTTGTTTTTTCTTCGTAGCATAACAATACATTCTCTATACTGCGAAAACAGTAGTGAGGAAGTAATCTAAGTCTAGCCAGATAGAATCCTCACTACTGTCAATGTTCTTAGAAAATGGTGCAATTGTCCTTGTGTCTGTGCACTTTTAGTATTAGTTACCATCCTTTTCACCTATGAACGTCTTTACTGTAACATGAGTGCACTTGTGCACTGCTGGGCTTTGTGTGAGGATTTTGATACCAGCTTCACATCTTAACGCTATTCACCAATTTTTTGTCAAATTTCAACCTGCTGTGAACAGTGACAGCTACAGATTTGGCTTAGTAACATTATACAATTATACCAACTGTAAATATGAAATTATGTAATAAACTACCGTTAAACAACTTTAATTTTTAGAAATTCGTCTTTATCTTTTAAGTTTCAATTTGTTTAGGGAACATACATAAAACTCGTAAAATATAATTTCGCGAACTTTTGTTGTAAAAATGATTCCGAGCAAGTATAGAATGTAAAATTAGCTGTGCTACAACAGCAGCATACGTTCTCGCATTATTTCGAACTTCGTATTATACGACTACGTAAACCTGTAAAAGTTTTTTCAACGAGCAATTTTTTTTTCGCGACAAGACTGGACCACAGGTCATATTTAACTCAGCCACACCACTACGCTACAGAAGCGCTTCGAACTCTGTCCAACGCTAAAAAATGTAATTTTCTCAACCTAATATTTCCAGCAATTCCAAAATACAGAGTTTGCCGTAAATGGGACACCCACCGTAGTGTTTATCGTTCGTTGTTACATACGACAATGTGTAATGAAAAAGTTTGGTAAAATATTGTTTTTTAGAAGTTGCAGAAATTTCTGACACAAATAACATAAAATCTACTAGTTTTGGCGTGTTTGAAAGAGCAGATTTTTTACAACAAACTGTTTGAGACAAAAATCGCTATCTTTGAATTTTGTAGTTTTATGTTGATGTTAACAGTTGCCATTTTCGAAAATACGCAGTTTGCCGAAAATGGATCAAGCATAATCTATTTTACCGTACCTTGTAACATACGAGAAGGAAATTTTTAAAAATTGAGCAGATTTTGTCAAAAAATTGTTTTAAAAAATTGAAATTGCTTACAATATGCATTAAATTACACATGAACTAGTGTGTTAGAAAAAATACACATTACAGTACTTCAAGAGCTGTCTTTGGAGGACAGATCGCGTGAAAGAAAAAATCTCTATCTGCAGTTAGTTCAGTTACTGCCTTATTGTACGTGATGACAAGGGACATCAGGCCCGCCCCTTCGTTTGACTATGCGATTTTCACTCTGCTTCTTTCACCACCTAACGTAGAATGAAGGTATTACTCGGGCAACGAAACAGACGATTTGAATTCAGCTCAGAGTCCTCTTTCAGGAGTGATGGTCTCTTTCATGCAGTAAATTAAATGGGACTGGCGAATTCACTTCCCATCTGACGAAAAGAGTTCGAAGAATATTTTTCACCCTTACAATATCCACGGCGTCGATTAGATTAGGACCTGCAAACTTGGTAACGACAGCCAGATACGCTAATCGCAATGGAACAAAACCCAATAAAACAATCAATATAGGTAGTTGTAGGAGGACGCTAAAAAATTGCACTTTTGCTATTTTCAAAAAATTATGGATTTCAACGAGCATTAGACCTGCACCATTCTCTGAAGAATCCATTACACTATCTGAGGACAAAATGTAATAAAAAAATTGTGGTCCATTTTGGAGAAAATGTGGAAAAAGTTTTTGAGGTTTTATGTAAGGCTACTTGGACCCAATTTTTAATACTCTCGGGGTTTTTTCTTTAATATCCTTGAAAAACAAAATAATGTTTATAATGTCTTATATAGATCTTAAAGTTGATTTGAAGTCCCCGAGAGTAGTTTGATAAGATATATTTACCAGAAATCACAAATATTTTTTTTGAAAATTAGGTTCAAGTTACACTGCTGTGTGGGGCTACTTGAACCCACGCGATGTTTTCGTACATAAAACCACTGAGACTTGTACTGGGCTCATGTGTTTCTAGATTTTCTTGTATAAACATGAATGTAAATATACTACAAACACGAAGATAACTTCAATAGCTGAAATGCAATTTTTTTTTGTAACTGCGGATATCTAAAAAATTATTTCGTCCATTTTCGCCCTGGGAGATTATCTTCAAAAACAGTAACAGATCTGACACCCACAGATAACTAAGACTTTTCAGTAAATCTGCCACAATCTGCCACAGATGAATAAGAATTCACCATAAATCTGAAATCGAGTTCAGCAACAGGAAATCTGAAATTAATGATTTGGTCACAGGGCCTTACAAGAACTAATTTTTTGTCGTCAGTAAACATTTTTAGATGGCCCGGTTTCTGAATGGATTTCTTATTCAGTCCCCAATGGAAGCTCCAGCTTGCCTTCGCAATATTATTCCGGACAATTGCTGCGAAACATTCTTCAAGCTGATGGTTCTTCCGACTTCAGGAAATATTTTGTATTTGTATATTATAACGATCAGATTACTGTAAAAGCAAGATAAAATCACTGTTAAAAGTTTTAAATATCGAAATAAAACTATTAACGCTTAAACAGATAAAAAAGGTTTTGGGTTATTTGAACCCACTATGAGCGTGGGTTTATGCAGCCCGGTTTTTGTGATTATGGGCTCACAATTATGAAATCTGAAAAAATGGTGAAGAAGTTATACTTATGACGAAATTATCGTAGGCGTTCTATTAACAAATATATTCGATGCACTGTGTTGAGTGGTGGCGCTGGCGTTAACTGTAAACGAAGAGACGTTTTCCGTCAAACAATTTTTGGTATCAAGAACCCACGAAAGGAATTCTGACTTCACATCTTAGAGAATGTAATTTACTATGCCATATATATATATATATATATATATATATATATTTACTTTTTCATTACCAGGGCCAGGAAATGAGAGTTTTTCTACTGAATATTCGTCTCTTACCGGCGCACGATTACATCACGAATCTTTTTGCGAAATGCGAGAAAGTAACAAGAACAAACTTGGCTAAATTTAAAAACTCTCTGATATACACAGAGGGAGCAAATGTCTTCAAGAATGTGTTTTAAATATTTATCATGTAAAAATATTCATTTTTCATATGTATGAATGATCAGACTGCTAAGGAGTAATACACAGCTTCAGAATCTAATAGCAATCACGTTTGATGGCATATGGTGGGAGTGTGGTTGATAAGAATTGTTTGCCAACGATAACACGCACTATTCTGATACAACGTTATTTTCGTTTATCAAAACAGTTGTGTGAAATATGCAAGACATTTTTCGGCTCAATACAAGACAGTCGAGATGTTTTCCAAAGATTAATGTACATTCAAATTTTCGATGGCAAGTAAGTTATGTTTTTAACACTAT